CTCCTCTCTTAAGAAATAGTGATGTTAGAAGCTTGTTTGGAAGAAAATAAGAAATACTTTTACTAAGGCAGAATAAATAATTCCTGCTATCAAAGTGTTTAATCTGAACTTTCTTTTTCTGCTGACAGAAAATATCTTAGAAACTCTGTTGTTTAAACATTTATGCAGATTTAAATGGTTTCAGAAATAAATTTGATTCTTGTATCTTCCACATTTCTCTTATTAATAATTGAATCATGTATTTTGTTTATTTGGGTAGAGGTGTCACTAGGGGAATGTGGGTAGCAGTGGGATGCAGATCACCTGGGTGACACTGTCAAAGGGGGTGTCACTTCAATGTCTGTAAAATTTTTGTGCAAATGTTAAACACAGGAAAAGTGGGAAGAGTGCTGTTGCACTGTGGAGACTGAAATCAATGCCACCAAACAAAACGTGTATGAATTATTGAACGGAAAATCAATTAGCCCTATAAACTTTCACCCAAATAACAATAAAAAGTTAATTTTTTCGCAGTTTTTCAGCAGAAATTTATTATTTTTTTAAAAATATCCCTGTAATTAGTTATAACAACAAAACATTTTTCAAAAGGCTAGTTTACATGTATCACTATAAGTACAAAGCTAATACTCTATGCTAATTTACTTTTTAAACCTTCTAATGCTATTATTATTATCCAATTACAGTAAGAATTACAGTAAGAATTCATATTACATGGTTTTGTCTGCACACATTACAAGCATGTGCTGTTGTTTTGTTGTCAGTGTTTTTATATTTTGTCAAATTTTCTGGTGTTATAGCTACAATACTGTGGTAATTGGTATTCGTGAACTTGTATCAATAGCTTTCTTGAGAAAGAAGTAGTAAGGAAAAGAACAGGAAAAATAATAATAAAAAAGGCTTCTACTCAGTTACTACTAATGCTGCCATTTTGTTGTTAGTATTCATATAACCTAAGAAATATTACATTAAAGCAATTTGCAACTATATCACATATTATCCTATGATTAAAACTGGTAATAGACATAACTAAGGATTCTATATGGTCTGTCTGGTATGGGAGGAGGTCCATGGGCTGGTGATACCACAAGTTACCACACTGGGTGACACCAACCCTAGTGATGCCACTGATTTGGGTGCAATACTGTTATTCTAGATACTATGTAAGGTTGACCTATAAAGATACATAATCTATCCTCAAAGAACACACTTTGAGAAAAAATACTCAAGTGGGAATGCTACTGCATTCTCACCACAGGAAAGGCTGAAAAGCATCATCAGTCTTTGTAGGTACACTTGCTTTCAATTGAGTCATTTCTTACCAGGCATAAACTTGGCCTTAGAGCTTCCAAGTCTGGGAAGCTTAAGTCTGTGTAATGAATTGAGAAATAATAACAAATCAACAAAAAACATTTATTGAGTATATTAGTGCCAGATTTAAGTGCCAGACCTGATGTAGGTCCAGAAAAAAAGTTTCCAGCAGATTTCAAATACTATATATTAGTTTACTATCTGCAACTACCTTTTATGTTCTTACATATAAATAAACAAACAAGGCCCCACACATCCCATTTGGGAATTTAGAAAACAAACAGAGCCATCTTTCTGTGCCAGTAATCATGCCAAACACTGTGTCAGCCCGTAATATTTGTTCAGCTCACCATGCAGCTGACAGGGGCACGTATTGTGAAGTGGAAATTTTTTGGAAAGGCTGCATTTCAGTTCATTGAAATTTCCTATGAAAACAAACTTGCAGGCATAGACAATGTTTTATTTAAAAAGTCTATTCTCTTAGAAAGAATCTGGTTCATTTAATCATGGTGGGGAGAATAATACATGAAAACAATAGTACAAAACTGACTGTAAATCTACCTTAAAGCAAAATCATTTCTGGTGTGTCTCAAGTACCTGGTTTATTATAGCGTAAGAGAAAGCCTGACTAGCAGGTATAATTAAAGTATGAATCACAGAAATAAGTCATGAGTAACCGTGAATTCACCTACAAGAAAAGAGTCCATTACAACATACAAGACTTTGAGGACTCTAGGTGGAAAGTAAGAGGAAGAAACCCAATTCCATGTAAATATAGTGATGGACTTGACTTGAAATATGTTGACAATGGCATCGATGCATAATTTTCATCATGTCTTTGCGAGGTTCGTGGAACATAGCATATTCTGCCTTGTGTTAGATAGGCACTCATTTTCCTTATTTTCTACTCTGAAAATATCTTGAGGATAGGCACTATGTTTTGCTTTATTTATCTTTCTATATAAATCACCTCTCTATGCAGATGCTACTCGTGTAGACAGTAGGCATAAACCATGTACTTACATACATGAATGGGTAAACAAGCACCCATATCTTAAATCTACAATTAAATCTGTCCTGGCATGTAAGACTTTTGAGGAAGAATGAAAACTGACACCCAACATACTAAATACTGCTTATCAAAGATTGCTGATGCATTTTTAAAAAATTAATCACAGAACCTTCATTTAATGAAAAACAAGAAGAGATTGTTATATTTTATCCTGTTTCATATCTGAGCAATTGGCATCGGATTTAGTTCTCTGGCACAGCAACATGGCAAAAGTTGAAAGGAAAACCGTTTGTTTGGACTGACTGGTTTTTTGTTTTTTATACTGTGTAATGAAAAAATGTAAAATCACCTCAGGTGAAAAACAGCACCATTGTTTTTTAAGTTGCATCATTAACTGACAATTAGCATTAACTACTGCCATGAGTCAACTCTGACTCACAGCAACCCCCATAGGATTACCAAAGCTGTCAATTTTTAAGGAAGCTGGCTGCCTCATCTCTCATCTTTCTCCAGAGGAGCAGCTGGTGGACCCGAACCACTGGTCTTGGGGTTAGCAGCCCAATGCCTTAACCACAGCACCACCAGAGCTCCTTTTAACAAACAGCATTAAACAAACCAAACCAAACTCACTGCCATCCAGCTGACTCGGATTCATAGCAATCCACATCGGGTTTCTGAGGCTACTTCTAGGGAAGTAGACTGCCCCATCTACCTTCCAAGAAACAGCATTATTGCCTACAAATTAAGAGTATTTAACTGATATACATAGATAAATATTTGAAGTTAAAATGATTTCAATGGTGTCATTAGTGATTGACCATTCTGCCAATATGTTGGGAAATACTCACTGCCGTCGAGTTGATTTCAACCCATAGCGACTCCTTGGGTTTCCGAGGCACTATTTCTACAGAAGTAAATTGCCCAGTCTTCCTTCCGAGGAGTGGCTGGTGGGTTTGAACCACCAGCCTTCTGATTAGCAGTCAAATGCCCTAGCCACAACGCTACCATAATGATGCAAATATGGAGGGAAGGTTTTTAAGTCCAATCTCTGGCCCAAAAGAATTTAAATCAAGTCATCAAATATACTATTAAAATTATTTTATCTTAGTTCACTATTTACATGTTACTTTTAATGTATATATATATATTTTAACCATTTGAAACTAAAATCTTGACAATCCCTGAAATTTACTGGGAAAAATGTAAAGCACTTTAATGGAATTTTTCCCATGCCGTGTTGAATAGAGCTTTTTAACAGATGGTTCAAATGGACAAAGCAATGAAAACATAGAAATTAAAAGCAGATCCTTAAGCAAAATAACTGAGTTCTCAGAAATCCTATAGATGGTGTGACAGGGCAGATGTAAGACAGCAGTTTCTTTTTCTGTCATTGTTTCAAAAAGAACACAAATTTATTAAGTGAATCTCTACGAGGGAAAGGATAAACCTCTTGGTAGAAATTCATTGAGAATTCCAGATTAATTCAATAATTTAAAAATCTTCATATTTGTAGGATAATTCCCTCCCAGTGCCTATAAAAGATACTTGTGTTTCTGATTCAAATAGGTATTCTTCCAGAAGTAGAAACACCTAAGCCTGAGGTGCATAGCTGGGGAATGAGGATGACCTAAAATCTCCCCACCTTCCCAGCAACTTGGAAAACAGAACAGAACAAAACAAGGCCTATGAAGCTTTTCCTCCTGAAGTATAAAAACCTTACCTTTCTTGAATCAGTGAAATATGAAGTAAGAGATGGGAAAGAGACAGAAAAACTTTTCAACTTGGACTTTATATACCTTCAGTGGAGACGTGTGAAGCAAAGTAAACTACGCTTAGAGGGCAGGATCTTCCTTCCAGGCTTCAAAATGACATTCCAAACCTTAGGGAAAGTTAACTCTGCTTTCTTTCCCAGCCAATTCCTAGGGATTGGGTGATGGGGTGGAGGGTTTACTGAGGCGGAGCGGAGTACCCCGAAGTGTCACTGTGGGTGACTTGGAGCCGGGCGCCAAGAGGTGGACATTGTTAACGCCCCAGGCGAAGGCAGGATCGAAAACGCGCCGCGACAGCGCGGGGAGCCCAGGAGCAAAGTGCCTGACGGTGGGTGGGGGCAGGAGGGTAAATGGGCGAAGGGGCGGAGTGGCGAGGGTGGAAGCGCAGCGACTGGGAGGAGGGTCTCCGAGCCCTGGCCCGATTTGCAAGCATTCAGAGCTTGCGTCCATCGAAGGGGAGGGTTTCTCGGGCCCCGGCGGAGTTGCTGCTGGGCGCTTCTGGGTTACAGTGCAAACGACTGTCAAGAGAGTAGCACAGTGGAGCTGCCGGAAGTGTCTGCGGGCCGCTAGAGAAACTTTCCTGCTCGGGCTGCGGCCCGGAGCCTCGAAGCCTCCGTGCCCGGAGCGACGATGCGTCCTGATGACAACGACTTGAGCAGACCCGAACCTCGGTCGGTCGCCCTCGCTCCTCTCGCTCGGAGGGAAGAAGACTGAGTTCGGAGGTGTCCGCGCGCCGCTGGAGCTCGGCGCAGGCGGCGCGGTGCGGCGGGGCGCGCGGGGGCCCATTTCTTTTGCTCCCCTCGAGTTTCCCAGCGATCGCGCGTCCCCAGCGCCAGCCGCTGTCGCCGGCTGCCCTCGCCCTGATCGCTGGCCGGGACGTGTCTCCGGCCGCCGCTGGCAGTGGCTCGGCCATGGGGCTGCCTACTCTGGAATTCAGCGATTCCTACTTGGATAGCCCGGATTTCAGAGAGCGCCTGCAGTGTCACGAGATTGAGCTCGAACGAACCAACAAGTTCATTAAGGAGCTCATTAAGGACGGCTCTCTGCTCATCGGGGCTCTGAGGAGTAAGTAGGGCTGGCGGAGCCGGGAAGGAGCGGGGGTCCGGAGGGTCCCCGCGGGGTGCGAGTCCAAGGGGTGGAGCGGAGGAGCTTCTTTTGTTTGAATGGGTTTGGGGACAAAAGCTGAAGAGCTCCCCTGCTGGTGGCCAGCAAAGTTTGTTCTTAGGTGTTCTTTGCTTATTTACTGTACTTCTGTATCTACAGAGAAGGGAGAGTTCTCCCAATGGGCACTGAAGTATCTTCTCCACTGAGGAGACATCCTTTAAAGTCATCTTTTTGAATAACACTTCTGGAAATATGTTATGAACTATTTATCTTTTTTTTTTTTTTTTTTGGTCAATTTGTTGTGCTTATTTTAACACTAAAAAAGTCTGTTAGAGGAGTTCAAGAGTTTAAGTCTTGGAATGAAATTAGGCTAGTTTATTTTAGAAAGAAAATACTAATTTCTTAAGTATATTAGTGACTCTTCATTGGCTATATCATTGAGTTGGCTTTTTTTTTTTTAATGTAAGGATACATTTGCAGTTTTGACATTCAGTAACATGACTGAACAGCATGGGACCAGTAGATTTGATCTCTTGGCAAGTTTTCTGGGCATTTTTATTTGTAGAGATGGGACTTCAGTGGTTTAAGGCAAATCAGAATTTCTCTTGACTTACTGAAGGCAAAGACTGCCCTTAAGGGCTTCTTCTGTCTCCTTTTCCATACACTTCCTGACTAGCTTTACTTTCCTCCCTCTAGTGCTTTCAGGATCTTATCTTCTCTTTGAGTTAGTAAAAACCTAAAGCAGTATCTGAAACTCAAAGTTTCTCTTAGTATTAAGTGACAACATGATAAGGTGTAACTTGTTACTTTTCCTGAGAGGTACTTGCATTTTAATAAAGGCTTCTGAATGCTTTAGACTGTGAAATGAAGCCATGGAATTTCTGGGCTCTGATAAGTGAGCAAAGGAGCCCTGGTGGCACAGTGGTTAAAGAACTCTGCTGCTAACTGAAAGGCCGGTGCTTTGAACTCACTGGTTGCTCAGTGGGAGAAAATGTAGCAGTGCTTCTGTAAAGATTCCTGCCTTGGAAACTCTAGGCGGCAGTTCTACTCTGTCCTACAGGGTCGCCATGAATCAGAATCTAATCAATGGTAATGGTGTTGGATAACGGATTGAGTGAGGTATTTTTTAAAAATGGAAAGGCCTTGGGTTATCAGTCCTAAGGGTGTATGTAAGGGCATCACCTTTGTACATGTCAAGTGCAAAGTCAGTAACGACATGGGGGGCATGTGTGTGTCTGAAACTGAGACAGCCCTAGCATCTGATCTGTATTTTGAAGTATGTTTCAATGGCAATGATTGCGTTTAGCTGAATGTCTTACAGAGTAGAAAATCAATGTGCTCCCAAATCCTTTTACATTTTATTTATCCCCAATGCTTTTATCACATATGTTACTTAACCAGGGTAAAGAAAATATGTTCTATACCCATATACACTTAATTTCTGAATTTGAAGCTGCTGCTGGTAATAGTGTTTACTGTGATTTGTGAAAAATATGGCTTATCAATAATTCTTTCCACCCTGTGTTTACACAGATATGAACTCTTCTTTCTTCTGGTTTGTAAGCCTTGGTTGAGGTTGCTAGACTCACCTTTAGAGCATGATGCCTCATCCAAAAGTGCTAAACACCAAGTAAATACTTGCTAAAAGTACCAGGTGTTCTGCACACTAGGTTTTCTCTGCGTTCTACTTGAGATCAATGTTAACTACTTAGGTTTCTGTACAACAGTAGAACTAATACATCACTATTCACAATCATTTTATAGTTTGGCAAATTGAGGCCCAGAGAAGTTAAGTGACTTGGTTAATGAGTGACTCTCTCCCTCTCTTCCTACAAATTTACATGAGGAGATTATTTATTTCTCATTTCTGTCCTTTAGTCTTTCCAATTTACATTTGACCCTTAGGTCAAAATTGTCACCTTGGAACGTGTGACATAAAAAAGCTCTTTGTCCAGAGAGTTTAAATGTGAATATATAAGAGTTATGAACAAATTGCCTCTTTCTTCTGCCCTCAGAAATGCCCTGGGATAGGAACATATTGGTTATCAAATTGTTTGTAGAATATCCTGCTGGTTTTTATTTTTTTTCCCTTGTTTTAAAAGTTTAAAGTAGCTGTGATAAATATGATGAGTTGTACATTATCTTACTAGTAATATTACATATTGCATTATGATTTTTAATCATAATAGAAGTCAGATAATTCCCATTTTGATAGGTTTGTTCTTCCATTTATAAGTGAAGAAATCTTGAAAGGGTAAGATTCTTGAAGATGTAGACTTGTTTCATTAATCTAGTCTTCCAAAATCCCCAGCAAAAACCACACTCACTGTCGTCGAGTTGAATCTGACTCATAGCAACCCCTCCTTGGGTTTCTGAGGCATTATCACTAGGGAAGTGGATTACCCAACCTTCCTTTGAGGAGTGGCTGGTGGATTTGAACCCCTAACCTCCTGGTTAGCAATCAAATGCCTTAGCACTTAAATATGCAACCTACTATCTAAGGAGTTCTGGTGGCATAGTGTCTAAGGCATTTGACTGCTAACCAGAAGGCTCACAGTTCAAACCCACCAGCCACTCCTCGGAAAGAAGACTGGGCCATCTATTTCTGTAGTATACCATCTCGGAGGGAGCTCTGGTAGCATAGTGCCTAGGGCACTTGACTGCTAACCAGAAGGCTGGCGGTTCAAACATACCAGCCACTCCTCAGAAGGAAGATGGGGTAATCTACTTCTGTAGTGATACTGCCTCAGAAACCCAAGGAGGGGTCGCTGTAAGTTGGGTCCAACTCAAGGGCACATAACAACAACAACACCCACCTCGGAAACCCAAGGAGGGGTCATTATGAGTTGGATCCACCTCAACGGCAGTGCGTTGCATTTGTTGTTACCATCTTTCTTGTTCCTTCGGTTTGTCGTGAGAATATATTGTTTTAATTAACATTTGATTATTACCTCTTTAATTGTGGAAGGATTGTATTTTCTTCCTCATTAAAGGAATTCTCAAAATCAGCTGCCAAATGAAAGAGATTTTGGATCAGAAGAACTCTTGAAGTCACATGAGCCACTATTTTCTCTTCCCCCCATCTAGACACCTTCTGTCCCCTGGGAAGTATGCTCTGAACTCTGCTGCAGCTTCTGAATGCCTGCTCTATGAAGCTGCTTGTTGTTAGGTGCCATCGGGTTGGCTCCAACTCATAGCAACCCTATGTACAACAGAACCAAACACTGCCCATCCTCATAATAGTTGCTATATTTGAACCCATCCTTGCAGCCACTTTGTCAATCTATCTTGTTGAGGGTCTTCCCCTTTTTTGCTGACACTCCAATTTACCAAACATGAAATCCTTCTACAGGGAATGGTCCCTTCTGACAAAATGACCAAAGTAGGTGAGATGAAGGCTGGCTATTCTCGTTTGCAAGGAGCATTCATTCTGCACTTCTTCCAGGAAAGATTTGTTCATTCTTCTGGCAGTCCATGGTATGTTCCATGTGGTATTCATATGGCAGCCCATGGTATTCTTCGCCAGCACCATAATTCAAAACCATCTCCTCTTCATCGGTCTTCATTATTCTTTGTCTAACTTTCACATACATACACAGTCGCTATGAGTTGGATCGACTCAATGGCATCTAACCTAACATGCATATGAAGTGATTAAAAATACTTTAGCTTGGGTTAAGTGTACCTTAGTCTTAAAAGTGACATATTTGCTCTTCAACACTTTAACAAGGTCTTTTGCAGCATATTTGTCCAGTGCAATAAGACATCTGATTTCTTGACTGCTGCTTCCATGGGTGTTGATTGTGGATCCAAGTCAAATGAAATCTTTGACCACTTCAATCGTTCCTCTATTGTGATGCTGCTTATTAGTCCACCTGTGAAGATTTTCATTGTCTTTACGTTGATGTGTAATCCATACTGCAGGCTGTAGTCTTTATTCTTCATCAGTAAGTGCCTCAAGTCATCTTCACTTTCAGCAAGCAAGGTTGTGTTGTCAGCATATCACAGGTTGTTGTTAATGAGTTTTCCTCCAATCCTGATACCATATTTTTCTGTATGTAGTCCAGTTTCTCAGATTATTGCTCAGCATACAGATTGATTAAGTATGGTGAAAGGATACAACCCTGACACACAAGCTTCCTGATTTTAAACCATGCAGTATCTTCTTATTCTGTTTCAATGATAGCCTCCTGGTCTATGTACAAGTTCCTCATGAGTATAATTAAGTGTTGTGAAATTCCCATTCTTCACAATGTTATCTATAACCTGTAATGATCCACATAGTTTAATGCTTTTGCATAGTCAGTAAAAGACAAGTAAACATCTTTCTGGTATTTTTTTTGCTTTCAGACAATATATTGCTGCAATTGCTTTGAATTATCTTCAGCAAAAGTTTACTTACTTGTGATATTAATGATATCATTCATTAATGATATTAATGATACCGTTCAGGACTATTCATAAAATTTTGCAGTGTTATATCAGACAGTGTTTCATTCATAAGGTTTTCACTGGCCAATTCTTTGAGAAGTGGATGGCCCCTTCCTTCTTCTCAGTCTTAGTCTGGAAGCTCTGCTGAAACCTGTCCATCATGGGTGACCCTGCTGGTATTTGTAATACCAGTGTATTAGCCTCTAGCCTCGCAGCAATATGTAAGCCACCACAGTATGACAAACTAACAGATGAGTGGTGGCTAAAGCTGTTGTTGTTGTTGTTGTTGTTATGTGCCGTGGAATTGGACCCGACTCACAGCGACCCCTCCTTGGGTTTCCAAGGCAGTATCACTGTGGAAGTCGATTAGCTGCTAGGAGAGGAGTATATCTTGAAGGACTCAGAGCTTGTCTAGTTTTATCCCGGGTTCATGTAGGGAGCCTCCTTTCTCCCGACCTGACCCTTCTGACTATTTTTTCCTCCCTGCCTGAGGAATCCTCTACCTTTCCTAACTATAAGCCTTTCTATTC